AAACCTAAATCTACGTAGTCAAAGGCAAGAATCTGGAAATAAAGCAAGAAAAATAGAAAAGAACAATGATTCAGACTCAAGACAACCAATGGAAATTCAAGAACATTGTACAAATTGTGTGCAGATGTGCAAAGCCAAGTACAGTGGCAAAATAAACAAGTGTGTGAGTAATATGTGTATACACACACCCAGAAAGAGATTGGACAGAAGCAAAGTCACAAACAAATATGATGAAATTTAAAAATAGACGAAGATTCAAGAACGTAAGTGGATTCACAATGGCGGCATACAAGCGTAACAAAGTTTAAAGTAAAACAAAAAAATTGAAAAGAAGGGGAACAGTGACTTACCAAAGCAAATAACGCCGGTGTGAGGAACGTCGAAGTCAGACGATGGTGGTGCGTGGAACAGAACGGTGAATTCCTTGTCGGAGGGGAAGAACGGAAACAGTTACAGAGCTTGAAAAACTTAAAATGATGGCAGTTTTTTGGGGGAGAAGTTTTAGAGAGAGAAAGCTTGAGAGAAATCAGAAAGCATGAAGTGAAAAGACAGAAAGAGGGAAGTGTTTTTGTTAAAACACGAAAAGGTGACAAAATCACAATAAATGTGCCTTGGAATACGTGTCTATCAGGCGGCGCGGATAGAAGCGACGCGACCTGATGGCGCGTATCAGGTACGGATCAATTAGGAAAAAATGCGTGGTGAAAACAGTTAAGAAAATGTGCGTAACAACTCATGCACAGATAGAACTCTTGGAGTTCTTGATTTAATAGGGCAAGAACCTCGGCTAGAGGGATGATCTCGGTTAAAGCACTTGAAAAACTTGGCTCTTGGTTCTTAGGCATTGATAAAGCAGACTGTAGTCTTGGTCGTATGGGGCCGACGTATGATGACCTCGATAATGAAGGATAGAGCAAGTCTTAGCCGACGTGCTACGTGGACAAACGATATAAGTTCCATCACCTTAGGATGCTGAGGTAATAGAACCTAGGGGCAGTTCTAGGGGCATATTTTTGTGAATGAAAACACGTGTTCGAGGTGGCACTGAAGTGCTAGCCGAGGTGCCATGTGTCTTGGTCATGGCACCGAGTTGATCTCGGTTTGGCTGAGGTTATCCGCGAAAATGCCGGAATCCGAAATGAGCGGATAAAGGACAGAAGTCCTAGAATTGGGGAGGATCTCAGTCTGGATAAAGATAAGGCTCTTAGGGAGCTTATCTCTATCTGGTTGGAAGTATAGGATGAGCATTAAGCCAGAGTCCATTGAAGCTAGGCTTCTATAGGGATCAAGTTAGTGCCGGCTATAAAAGTAAGGCACCCTCGTGGGTCTAAGGTACGTTTTTTGTATTCTGGCTTGTGAGTTAAGCACTGTTTGCTATCTTTGAGAGATAATTGAGAACTGACTTAATCGTCGAAGTGCTCCCAGGTAAACGAACCACCACCGGAGTCTTATTTTTCTGTGATAGGTTGTTCGGGCGAGATCTATTCTGTTGGTGCTCTCCAGCTGGGTACTTGTTTGACAGTGTGGTCAGAAATCAGCACACACAGATGATATTTTTGAAAACTGAAAGAAGTGTCAATCTTTCTTTTCCTCAGCTCTCTTCCCCTCGCAGTAACTATTCTTCAATTTTTGCAGAAATGAGCTTTATTTTCTTCTTTCTTGTATCAAGTTTACTGTCATGTTCCTAAAATTCCCTGAGTTGAATTATTAGAATTCCATTAGCTTGCTTCTGATGAGAGACTATTCTGAACACTCAAACAGTAATGGCATTCGTGAGTTCTTGGATGATAAGGCCAATTAAATCTCATTAACTATTAGTGGTTTCATTTATCTGTTAACACAGGTAAGAATTTTATACAAGATTTCTGGATTTTTTTTTTTTTTTTTTGAACTTATTTGTATTCAAATTTCATAATAAAATGAATGTAACGCAAGGACTTTATACTTTAATTTAGTATATGTTGACTAGTTCATCGACAATTAGAAAGAGATGAGTCACATGAAAACTAGAACCATCAAGCATTGTCAGGGACCAACTGCCACCCTGCTATTTCCAACCAATTAATTTACTTTCCCAAGTAAACCAGTCGTATAAAAATATATAGCTAGATAGATAGATTTTGTAAAAATAAAAAATAAAAATAAATTGTGGAAAATCAAATCAGTGGTTATTGGAAAAAAATAATTACAAATAAATGATATGAAATGGAATGTCACATGAAACTTTTCTACTACTCCAATTCATACATGTTTACTAGTTCATCAGCAACAAGAAAGAGTTGGCTCACATAATTCAAAAGATGGTGTCATATTGTCTTACTGAAATTCTCTTCATCAATCGTATAATTTTTTTTTATTACATTGAAAGTTATCTGGATTAAGAGCTAAGAAAACAGGGTTGCAAGAACTGAAATCCATATCTTTATGTTTCAACAATAAGCATATTCTAATGCTCCAATGACCATATTGACTTTATTTGGATTATTAGTTTTTATCTTGGGAGATTTGTTTATAGACTCTTAGTGTCTAACCTGTCCTTTAAAAGGACAAGAATTATATAAATCAGTTCAAAATTCCTTAATATTTTAAAACATATTTATTTTACTATAATACTCTCATATATATATATATATATATATGTGTGTGTGTGTATGTGTGTGTGTGTATTAGATTGCAATAACCCTCTCGCATCTCAATCTCTCTTCTCTCTGTCTCGCTCTTATTACTGTTGCCCTCCATCGGTGCTATCGATGCTCTACATCGGCGCCACCACCGTTCACCATGAAACCGTCTTCCTCACCACTGTCACTCGTCCATCCACAACCTCAGATCTGAAATCATTTACAATCGTCGTCACCGAAAAATGACAGTTCGCAACGGTTTGCAAATCTCAAATCTGAGATCCTTCACTCTCTCCCTCTCTCTAGTTCTGATGGTTCGTGCTCTGTGTGTGTGAGTGTGTGTGTCATTCACCATTTATGCTCTCTTTCTTTTCTTTTTCTTCTTCTTTCTTATGATTCTCTATTTTCGAACTCTGTCTCCCTATCTCTCTTTCTTCTTCTCATGATGCTCTGTGTTCCTAATAGTAAAATGTTACTCTGATTCATGACACAACACTCTCTTGTAAAGCTATCATCGTAGCTTGTTTGAAAGTAAAATTTTGTTTTGAATCATATTAAACTTTACTATGATTTTAAGAGTAAAATTTTACTCAGTAATAAAATATAAATGAATAAATAAAAGCAAAATTTTACTCTGTAATAAAAAAAAAAGTAATATTAAACTTTTTAATGATTCAAAAATTTTATTGTCGTTAAACAAATCAGCATGTTGTTAACCTTTATAAAATTTTATTATTACAAAAAATAGAGTACATACTAAATGAACGAACCATAGTCAAATTTTACTTTTAGATCTATAAACAATAAACAAAAAACTCCTGATTTTTTTTTACAATATCTCGATTTTTTATTTTTCTGTCAAATCTAAGTTTTTTTTTTTTTTTTTAAATCTCAAATTTGAAGTTATTGATTTCAAATATGAGTTCGTAGGCATCAAATCTGAGATGGTGGTGGTTTGACGATAAAAATGATTGTTGTCTACCGACGATGACGAGATGAGCAACACCAATAAACAATGATGAACAATGACGGTAGAAATGATGAACAATCGTTGAGTTGGTGAATTAGTGAAGAGAGAGAGTGTGCGGTAAAAAAAAGAGAAGAAAGAGAGAGTATAATAGTCAAATAACAAATTTTATTCTTCATACAGTACTTCATAATTATGAGGGGTTTTGAAAGTATTAGAATTTTTTTGTCCTTTTAACAAGAAAAAAAAATAAAATAGGAGGGGTTTATAACCAAATTTCCCTTTTATCTAATTACAGCTCCAACGATCAATGTTTGGATGAGTTTCTTGTGAGAAAAAAGGTACGTCGTGGTAATTTATGTAAGGAAGTGTATTTTTGTTTTTTCAAAGCTTCTGCAAATAAATTGATCGAATATTTGGTTATCATACTTCCGTTTGTCTTCTTTGTAACAATTATAGCTTTGTTTGTGTTTCTTGGTTCTTATCGTCAAGTGAAAATATTTATTGCTCATAATTTAGTTATCCCTCTAGCTGTTATATCATATATTTTTTATTTATTGCTTTCCTTAACTTCAGTGCTTCAACTTGTATATATTGTTGCAGCCCAAGGTGTACTTTCCTAAAATTTTTGTATATTTTGATTGTCTTTCACTTTTGCATAGATTTTGCATTGACATGTTTGAGGCACACGTACAAGACTTTTAGAGCTTTTGCCCCTTCTTACGCGGCATGACCGCCTATTCTTCATTCCATGGTTGAACCATTTTGTTCATTTGCTTGAACACTTAATTTGGCTTAATTTGGTTATAAATATTCATTAGACTTTGTGATTATTCTTCAATAGATGTGGTAGACTCATCTCCTGAAAATTAGAGATCAAACATGGATTCTCATCGTTCAGAGATTACAAAGCAATCCGAAATTCCAACTAAAGGATCAGACCTTGTTGAAGTGGAAGAGGAAAGCTTGCATCAACTGTCATTGACATCATTACACCTCTTAAACAAGTATGGAAGTGGAATGAAGCGCTCGAATGGGAAAAGCCACATGAACTAGGCTACGGTGCAACACGCGATACAACCGGTGGCCAGGAATTGTCATCCATAGAAGTCATGAAGCTGGCAAGAGAGAGATTCATCCGTTACACCTCCCAAAGCTCCGGTGGTGTTGATCTTTCCATGCTTATTTATCCCTCAAGTGGAGCTCCTTCCGGTCTCTCTGACGAGGATACCAAAAACTTGGAACTTATCCTATTTCTTCTAGCTTCTGCTGAGAAAGTAGGAAACATGAAGTTTGATCGTGCTGTGAAATTGCTCAGCATGTGTGATGACTTGTCTCCGGTTACCAGTAATCCAGTTGAGAGATTTGTTTTCTATTTCGCCGAAGCTCTTTGAGAGAGGATCAACCGAGAAATGGGGAAAACTTCAGCAGATCATGGACATGAAGGCTGTGAAACTGAGCAGCCATTGCATGTCGAAGAGGCTGTGAATGACGTCCAACCTGCTGTATTCGCGTGGCAACAAGTGTAAGATTATGGGATCTATATAGTAGAAATCAAAATACTAGGAATATAATTAATTACTAAAATATAAACTTAAATACATACCGTTTAATTCTATGATTGTCTTGAGTTTTACTTCTTTGAAAGAAGATGGTATTCACAATCGGAAAACCTTAGCTCCAGCTCTTCCCCTCCTTCTCCTAATCTTTATGTTGTCTTTTCAATGGGGCTGACAACCCTTTGATCTACATATATATAGATATATGTAAACCCTAATACGGATAGGAGAGAGGACTGGGCCTAAATAAAACAATTACTGGGCCCTCCCATTAAGGAACCCAAAAAACTTAAAACAGGCCTTACACCTCCATATCACCTATCCACATATAAAATAATATATACACTAAGATGACCATGGCCCAAACTTTATGTATCACAATAATAATTTTGGGCTCATACCAGTCAATCTATCTGAATCACGTTCAACCCGTTTTTCACAAACCAAACAAAATATAGTCAATGACAGCCTAATTAAGAATAAATTCTTACATTCTCCCACTTAGGCAACATTGACTACTTCTTTAAAAAAATATTTTATTTAAGAAAAAATGACTCTCGGGTTAAACAACTTTAGTGGCCACATAAACATGATTCAGAATAGAAACATCTCAGCACAGAATCTTATTCAATGAGAAATATTAATATCGAACTGTAGCGGTAATTATGTTATTGAACAACATAAAACCTTCAACAATTACAAACACTAATATCTCACCAACATGGATTCCTATATGTGATAAAGTGTAGTGTGAAATTTCAGCATAATTGATCCAAAAATTATATAACATGCTAATTCCACATTCAGTCCTCTGCATGGTCTTGACAAGACCCTACAAGGAATTTCATTCCATTTTACACTTCCAAAAGAAGCCTTTATTCCTCTAAACAAAAAGACCTGGTAAAGAATCTCATTCCTTTTTACACTTTTAAAAGAAGCCTTTATACCTCTAAACCAAGGTCTTTCATGCTCTAAACCAAGCATTAGACTTTATGGATCCATATACAGTTCTAAACCAAAGTGTTAATCTTTATATCTCAAAATAAAAATATAACTATAAGAGCTCATATAAGAGGTATACATATATGACAATTACCATTTATGTGTACACACACATAACTATAAACAAAATGTGAATAAACACATTAAACTTTATTAACTGAAATATACCATAGATAATATTCATGGGTAAAAAATTTCTTTAACCAAGCACATAAAAAACTGTAAAGTACCCATATGCTCAATATATTTAGCAAACTAAAATTTGGCCTAAGCCCTATATTTAGAGGATCAACTAGTATGTATTCTATAACATGTGCTCATAAAGAATATCATCTTTAACAACTCTCTAATTCTGAAGTACTTTAAATTTATGTATTTAACACCATTAGAGTTTTTGTTACTCTTCATAGAGAAAATTAAAACCATATATCATAATACATCTTTGTAGGTTTGGAGATGAAATTAACAATTCCAAGCTGTAAAATAAAATTCTTTAATCGTATAACTCAAGTCAAGATCTAAAACATGTTGCATAGTGAAAAATTATAAGAGATTTTATAAAACTCTTTCATGAAACAACACCTCATGCAAACATAAAAAATATAACCAATAATAGATACTGTATCGTTTGAGCAACTACCAAAGTCGACATAGTACAACCAATAATATTAACATGATTAATTCTTTTATAGACAATCGTATAATATTTAATTCTCTATAAATATCATAACACTTTATATGTTCCAATCCAATGGTCAAGACTTAAATTAAAATAATAATTGTCTAACAAACTAATTACATATTCACCAAGTTTAATCCAAACTTCATAATTCATTAAACTCTCACAACATTAGTATACAAGACATTCATCATGAACTTTTCTCAAAATCATTTTATGAATACTGAATGTTACTTAATTAGTCTCGATCACTAAGAAGAGCAACGTAAAGCTTTCAATTCTGCATATTAAATTTAGTAAAAATGTGATCTAGGTATGCTCTTTGAGATGAGACAAATAATCATCTAAGTTATTTTCAAGTACCTTAATGCCAAACACATAAAATAATTTATCAAAATATTTCATATCAAAAATTTATTAACAACAATATCTTCACATCAAGTATTAATTCAAAATTATTACTAGGAAGTAAAATTCCATCAGTATAAAGGATCAAGTAAAAATAAATTGCTCCCACTGACCTTGAGATATATGCATAAAGTAACAGTATTATCCATAAAGCCAAGTAATAATATTTGGTGAACCTTTAAATATCATTACTCAGAAATTCATTTAAAACCATAGATAAAGTTGTTTAACTTACAAATCAAATTTATTTTGTTTGGCGAAGTAAAAGATAAAAATGTCACAATACCACTATAATAATTATAAACCTATATTTATGACATTGGTAAGAACAATACTCTTTTCAAATCACAACCTCTTACAATAGCATTGTATTTATTTGTTTATCTTTTAAAAAAAAAATACTCATTAGATTTCAAACTGTTAAAAAGGTATAACATGATCTCATATCTAATTAATAATTTGTACCAATTCATTTACCATATTACAAATCGCCAATATCTTCATCATACGTAACAATCATCTCTTCAATCGCTTGATATTGCTCATTTAGAAAAATAATATAATCGCAAGGATTTTTTAATTGTATGAGAATGTCTAGAAGGTTGCATGTGTTATACATCTTCAACTTATATCAATAGACTGAATAGACACTTCAGATTCTACTTGCACTCTCACTTTCTCTATATGAGAATGAACGGACCAATTTATTATAATAGGCACGAGTATACAGGAAGATTTATATATTTAAACTGTTCACCAATCTAATAACTTCACATTTTAAAAATTTAAAAGATTCTTATGTCAAAACCAAGATAATAGAACCATTGACAACTTACAAAGTAACAACAAATAGCTATAGGTCCCATTTTGATTTAAAAAATATATCATAAAATTTTTTACTTCTGTACAATCCCAAACTCAAAAGTTATTCTAACTAAATTTTATATTAGTTCGTAATTTAAAAGTGTTTTATTTTATTTTATTTTTAACTTAGTATTATATGTAAAGTATACACAAGTATATATAGGCTTCGTTTGGGAAGTGGCTATTTTTTAAGCTTTTTGGCTATTTGGTTATTTTAGTAGGTTATTTTAGTTTTTGTGTTTGGGAAGATGAGATGAATTTTTATTTGAGTTGTTGTATTGAAAAATGTGTTGAAATGATGTTTAAAGTTAAAATGACAAATTTGTCCCTAACTTTTTATTTTTCAAAATTAACTAAAGGGGCAAAATTGTAATTTAACAGCCGACACATAGCTGTCCGTGGCACAGTACCTACACTGACAGTGTAGGCTGCTGCTTGTCCTCTAGCTTTTCTTTTCTTCTTTTTTTTTTTTAATAGAAAAGGTTGAAAAGTAAGCTTTTTGGCTTATTTTCATTTTGAGGCTATAATAGCCTCAACCTACTCTTCCCAAACACCCCCATAGTAATTAAAAACATTCTATCACAAAAACACTCATATAATTTAAACATGTTAACATACACATCATCATTTTATTAGAGTCCAATTACGACTCTTAATATAAATGGTTAAGAAGACACATTCTCGAGTATGTCAATATCTAAATCAGTTAGTCTTAAAGCTAACTCAATATCTTTTAACCGATTCATAATCAAAACTTTAATGGAGTAAATTTGATTTTCATAAAAATATCTCCCTTCATTGCTTTCAATTCAATATAATATCATTCAATTATATATAGACAATAATAATCTCATAATCACAATTAATATTCTCAAATATTTAAAATATATCACTCTTAAACTGAATATATAGAAAGCATGTTCACAACTCCAACTTTCAATTATACATAGGCAATTAGTATAATCTCACAAGAATATGCTGCGAATAAACTTTAGCAATATTCTCAGATGTGCCAGAATGTATCACTATATAAACACCTTTGGGTTGAATATATAGAATACAATCAACATCTTTAAACTTCAATATAATCTTAATTAATTTTACATGGGGAATAATTATAATCTCACAACAATGGGCTGCAAATAAACTTTAACAATCTTGTTAGATGTTTCAGAATGTATCATCATATAAATACCTTTGGGCTAAATATATAAGACACATTCTAACACCTATAAACAAGTCAACTAGCAAGAATGATTTATCAAGAAATTATCTCCTTTGGGTAGATAAATTCTTTCAAAAAACAATAAAATTTCCCTTACTAGCGGCTCACACTACCTCTAAAATAGATTATAGGATCTATATACTAGAAATCAAAACACTATGAATATAATTAATTACTAAAATATAAACTTAAATACATACCGTTTAATTCCATGATTGTCTTGAGTTTTACTTCTTTGAAAGAAGATGGTATTCACAATCGGAAAACCTTAGCACCAGCTCTTCCCCTCCTTCTCCTAATCTTTATGTTGTCTTTCAATGGGGCTGACAACCTTTTGATCTACATATATATAGATATATGTAAACCCTAATAAGGATAGGAGAGGGGACTGGGCCTAAATAAAACAATTACTGGGCCCTCCCATTAAGGAACCCAAATAACTTAAAACAGGCCTTACACCTCCATATCACATATCCACATATAAAATAATATATACACTAAGATGACCATGGCCCAAACTTTATGGATCACAATAATAATTTTGGGCTCATACCAGTCAATCTATCTGAATCACGTTCAACTCGTTTTTCACAAATTAAATAAAATATAGTCAATGACAGCCTAATTAAGAATAAATTCTTACAACAAGAGCTTCCATTTGTTCAAGTAGCCCAATTCACCGGAATCCAAGCCGTCCTCGACAGCGTGGCTTCCGCAAAAAGGATTCATTTCATTGATTTTGGAATTAGAAGTGGAATGAACGCAACAGTCTTGATACAAGCTCTTGCTGTTCGACACAGGGTCGGCCCTGCCCTAAGACAGGTGAGGCTTGTGCCTTAGGCCTTATATTTTGGCTCAAAAATAGGGCTTCTAAATTTAAAAAATTGTTATAGGTTCAACATTTTTTTTTTTTTTGGGTTTTAAGATCAATTTAAAGGGGCCCAAATGTTTTATTGGACTCATGTATAATTTAGTTCATATTTATTTATAAATGTGTTTGGTCCATATTTATTAAAATGAAAATATATAAATAAATAAATAAAAAACAATAGGGCCCCTAAATTTGGTAAAACATATAAACATATATAACATAGGGCCCCTAAATTTAGCCCAAAAATAGGGCCCTTAAATTTGATAAAATATTATAGGCTCAATTTTTTTTTTTTTTAATTTTAGGATCAATTTAAAGGGCCCCAAAATATTTTTTTGGGTCCTTGTATGATTTACTCCATATTTATTTATAAGTGTAGTTTGGTCCATATTTATTAAAATGAAAATATATACTAAAAAAAAAGTGTTTGGGCTCAAGAAAAATAATACATACAATATATGGGCCCTATTTTTTTTATTTTTTATTTTTACCTTCTTTATCTATTAGATTTTAGTGGAATAAATAATTTTGCTCAAATTTTTTTACCTAGGTCTCTATCAATTTTAATTGAATAATTTTTTCCTAATTTTTTTGTTCTAATTTTGTTTTATTAAATTGTTTTATTTATAATTTTAATGATTATTTGTGTAAGTAAATTTTTTTATGGTTACAAACAAATAAAAAAATTGTAACTTATCGTTTTATTCATAAATTTTTTTTCAATATAAAAGGGCCCCAATTTCAGAAATTCGCCTTAGGCCCCGACGAACTCAGGGCCGGCCTGGTTCGACATGAATGCCCAGTTGAGCTTCTTAAGGTAACTGATGTCGCAACAACCTCAGAACTGGCTGTGGAGGAGACGGGTAAGAGGCTTTTGTCTTTTGCAGACACAATTAACCTACCCTTTTTTTTTAAGGCAGTTTTGGTATCAGACATCAAAGATCTCAATGAAGATGTTTTTGAGGTTGAGGCCGGTGAAGCCATTGTTGTTTACTCTCCATGGTTCTTGAGGAACATGACATCGAGGCCTCATCGCTTGGAAGCTCTAATAAGAGTGATTAGAAACCTATCTCCATGTGTGATGGTGGTGACCGAAATAGATGCAAATACAGATGCACCGACATTCATGGACCGATTTGTGGAAGCACTGTTTTTTTATGGTTCACAGTTTGATTGCCTCGAGGCTTGTATCAATCGGTGCAACCCCATGAGGATTAAAAATGAAGCAATGTACATGAAGTATGGGATTCATAACACTGTGACAACTGAGGGTGAGGAGAGGACAACCAGGCACATGAAGGTTGATGCTTGGAGCGAATTCTTTGGGAGGTTTCAAATGGTTGAAAAAGAACTGAGCAGTGCATGTTTTTATCAGGCAAGACTGATAGTTAATAAGTTTGCTTGTGGAAGTGGCTGCACATTTGATATGAATGGGAATTGTTTGCTTATTGGGTGGAAAGGAACACCAATTTCTTCTCTTTCTGCTTGGAAGTTCCTCCAAGAGGAATGAAGAACATGAGAAATTAATCTGACTCCCATCCAATTTGGTGGTGGCGGCCTTTTTTTTCTCTCTCTCTGTTTTAGAGTCATTATTTAGGAGTCTCAAAGTATTACTTAGTAAAAAGATAGTACTGCCTTTCGATAAATAAAAGCCAGCCTAACCTACTTCAGTTAGCTGGATAGAAGATAAAATCGGGATCATTCATCCCTTTTGTACGACCTCTTCAAAGTCTATTTCTCACTTATTTTTTAGCAATTCAAATTTATTTTTTATTATTATTATTATAATAATAGTGTATTTTTGTTTGTGGTTTAATTGGAAGTGTTTCTTGAATTTTGACAAATTTTAGTCGGTGGTTTTCCTAGTTGAAGTATCAACTGGATGTCTCTGTTTTCAGCTATACTAATATGAATTTTATGCATTAGCTTAAGTTTGAATCACGGGAATTTAGACGGAATGATAATGTGATCTAGGTGCTATTCAAAGTTTTTTTTATAGAGGTAACATGATTTCAATCTTTGAAATAAATTAGAATAAGAAAGCGGTTCTTAATTAGTATATAATATTAGTCATTTAAAGTAAAAAAATATTGATTTTTTTGAATTCTAATGCATAAATTATTAATGAAAAATTAAATTGATGCCATGTACGATTTTGAAAAGATATCGCTTTTTTTTAAGTGGAAAATTTATAAAAAAATCTCAAAATTTGACTTGATTAATAAATTAAATCCTAATTTTTTCATTATTTCAATTTAAATTTTCAACTTTTAAGATGGTATAAATTTTACCCATTCGATTGTATCTAGAGAAGGATCAATCTAGACAATTTAACTATTTTCTTCTTTCATACTGTTGATTGATATTTTTTACCATTATCGCCGTTCATCACCATTCCTCTTCTTTCCTAACCCGCTATCACAGCTCAATCTCATAGTTACTACTGTCATTTAACACCACTGACAAAAAAATAATTAAATTATTTGAATTACTCCTGTTTCGTTAATTATAATTAACAAATTATTAACTTTGTTATTATTTAAAAATTTAAGAATTTAAATTGAAATAATTAAAATTTTAATATTTAATTTATTACGCTCTGTTTGTTTCGGCAAAAAAAGTTTTTTAAAAAATATTTTTCGTATTTTCTGATATTTAGTATAATGGAAAACAAAAGTAAAATGGAAAACATTTTTCATGATCAAAAAAAAAAAAAAACAAAAATATTTGAGCAAAAAATATTTTTTACTTTTAAAAAATAAAAAATATTTTTTGAATTAAATTTTTACCAACATCACCACCACCATCATCTCAACCACTACACCACACCAACACCACCACCACTACTGCCCCCGCCACTACCACCCCAACACTTTTGCCTCCAGCTCCACAGCTACCCCCGCATCCATGAATTTGGGATCACTGTTATGTCTCAATTTGAGGTGCATTATAGGTTTTTTTTTATGATCTAAACCGTTCATTTGTAAGGTTTGTTGAGTACTTCATGCCTACCAAAAATCATATTAATCGAATATTAATAACTATATGGTCAAATTGCATATTATGTTATTTCTCAAAAGAAAAGCTTATTGTTTATTTTTTTAATTATCGATCATATAATTATTAATATCCGATTAATATAATTTTTGGTAGATACGAAATACTTAACAAATCTTACAAAATAAACGATTCAAATCATAAAAATAAACTCATAATATACCTTAAATTGAGGTACAACAATCATTATTGTGCTAAAAGTAAGTAGTGAGCCCAATTCCCCGTCCACCCTGGTACCACTACTACCACAATTAATGCTAGGACTGCACATAGGGTTATCGACTCACCCAATCCGTCCAACCCGATCCTACCTGCACACACAGGTATGCACAGTTTCACAAACATAATAATGTTATTTCTCAAAAGAAAAGCTTATTGTTTATTTTTTTAATTATCGATCATATAATTATTAATATCCGATTAATATAATTTTTGGTAGGTACAAAATACTTAACAAATCTTACAAAATAAACGATTCAAATCATAAAAATAAACTCATAATATACCTTAAATTGAGGTACAACAATCATTATTGTGCTAAAAGTAAGTAGTGAGCCCAATTCCCCGTCCACTCTGGTACCACTACTACCACAATTAATGCTAGGACTGCACATAGGGTTATCGACTCACCCAATCCGTCCAACCCGATCCTACCTGCACACAGGTATGGACAGTTTTACAAACATAATAAAATAAGATTTGGAATATTTTTAATTTTTAATTTTTAATTTTTAATTTACGGGCGGGTTCCAAATTTGCCCCGCACTCGCCACAATCGCCCGCATTTGTTTTTTTGGTTGGAAAAACCTGGACCTTACATATTTTTGCCCAAATAAAACCATTGAGAGTCTAATTTCTCAAATCAAAACTTACTGCTCTCTTCTCATCTCACTCTCCCATCACACTCTCTCGTTTTTCATCTGCGCAGCACTGAGAGCACCGATCGACCTTCGCAATCGACTCTCTCTCTTCTTCAACTCTCAGGTAAGGACCATATGTTTGGTGGTTCTTGGGTGAATCTACTTACTGATGATGATTAACTAGTGAGCAACTGGTTTCTGCTTGGCCGTTTCACTGCTGGCCTCAAGCCTTTGAATTCGTTCCTTCAATTCATGCACAGTATCTAATATTTGGGTTATTTTTCAAGTAATACTTATATTTTAGCTTTTTGTGGTTTATGGTAAGATATTGTTGAACTTGTTAAGAACCATAAAGCTAATTACTGTTAGTTTTACTGTCCACAACAAAAAGAATTGTAGGAATTTGTAAATTAGCAAACTAGTTGCAACCTAGCAATTCTACCAATGTAAATCATCTGTTCCTGTCAAAATGAAATTTATTGACTCTTTTTTTTTTTATTAAGAATAATGGAATGTAGCATTTGAAGAGTCTGAAGAAGCTTCAGTAGGAGTCCAGATGGTAACATTGGGAAGTCAATTTGATCTATCAAACCTTAGTCAGAAGCTCGAGTTCTCCCCCCTATGAAATCCCAGTACTGTAACTGATATATGTAACCATCCGCAACTACCCGTACAAACCGCAAACCGCACTGTGGGCGGTTGCAATTTGACTTTTCCCAAACCGCATAGGTTCGGGCGGGTCAAAATCGAACGGCAAACCGCACAAATCCGATCCGCGAGCACCCCTAATTAATGCAATGTATTAATTTTAAGAATGCAACTAAATATATAAAAATATTTTTTGAAAAAAGTATTATGTAGAAAATGTTTTTAATTGGAAAATATTTTCCGAATGGAGCGTAGAGCCAAATCTTGAGTTTTTATTATTTATTTATTTTTTAACAAGTAAGAAAAGCCAGTTTCTGCAGACGACGGAGGAGACAATGGAGAAACACGAGAAGACGAACAAAATGGGAATAGTGGATAAGTGGTTGAAGAAGCACAGTGTGGCTTACAGTGGAGCCACCAGACACCCTTTCATCCACTCCATCCGCCATGGCACCGTTGACCTCTCTTCCTTCAAGCGCTGGCTGGTACTTCTTCCTTTTCATTCCTCTCTTTCTCTCGTTTATACATATATATATGTATATATATATTGAAAATTTCACTCATGATCTCTACTTTGTTTGTTTCTTGTCTCAATTTATATCTATTTTACGTTTTGAATTTTTCATATTGTCCCAATTTACTCTAATTTGAAATGTTATCAATTGGATTAAATTAACACAATGTAAAAAATTGAAGCAAAAATTGACACAAGGATCAAATTGAGACAAGTTATATGAGGCAAGTTTCCAGTTGAATTGTGTTTGTTTGATACAAATTTGGGAATGAACTTGGGATTTACTTGAAATTTGCTTAAACACAGGGACAAGATTATGTATTTGTTAGGGCATCTGTGCCTTTTGTGGCAAGTGTGTTGTTGAAAGCTTGGAAGGAGTCGGATGATAGTTCTGATGTGGAAGTTATACTGGGTGGTGTGGCTGCCTTCAATGATGAGCTTGCCTGGTTCAAGAAAGAAGCATCCAAGTGGGATGTTTCGCTATCCGACGTTGTTCCTCTCAATGCAAATCTTCGTTACTGCAGGTACCACAGCCACGATTATCTCTAGTTGCTGCTTATGGCTGTCTTAGGCTGTTTGGATCTTGGATTTGTGAAGAAAAAGAAAGAGAAAGGGAAACTAAATTCTTTTAACAAATGCATTCACATCTAGTAAATGTCTATTTCATGGCTTCAAGTTTGTTAAGGTAGATTTAAAATAATGTTAATCCCACATGTTGAGAGTATTTTTGGATGCTTTTGAGGAATATGACTTCTTAATCAAAATTGCATATTGTAAATGTGTATTAACCATTTTGATATATATAAACGATTTCTAATCAAAATTGCATACTAGTGTATTAGTCTTGTTTTTAAAAATTTAAGAATATGTAACCTAATGTACTCTTGTGGTTAAAATAATATAGAATTAGAAACCTAGACATGATTATGGATAACTTTAAGGAAACCTATTTGATGTTTGAGTAGAAGATTTTAATTCAACTTGCAAACGAAGCATTACTTTATAAAGACGAGATTTGTTATGGCATTGGAATCATTCTAACCACCTTTAGGCATTCCTCTCTCATGTTTGTTTTGAGAAAGTTTCTATCACAGTATAGTCATTGAACAATTTTGCATGTTGTTACAGCTTTCTGGAGAGCCTGATGAGCTCTGACATTGAATATACTGTGGCCATCACGGCATTTTGGGCCTGTGAAACTGTCTACCAAGATAGTTTTGCTCACTGTTTGGAAGACAACTCTAACACTCCAGAAGAGCTAAGGGAAACCTGTGAAAGATGGGGCAATGATGGTTTCGGTCAGTATTGTCTTTCTCTCCGAGAAATAGCTAATCGTCTTCTAGATAAGGCACCGGCTGATGTAGTCTCAAAGGCTGAGGTAGTTTTTCTTCGTGTTCTTGAATATGAAGTTGAATTTTGGAACATGAGCCATGCAGAAACTTCAGGACTCACACTCTGATCAGAAATCTAATATGTACACAGTTATGCCTATTGTTCTTGTGCATTAAGTCCCATTAGTACACTTTATGGTTTGTGTCTGTGCATTTCTGCTACTTTTTTCGTTATTGGGTGGGGGGTTGAAGCCTGTATTATTTGTGTTTACATGAAATAAATAAAATTGCATGTTTTCTCCAAGTTGTAAGCAATACTTATAAGTTCAACATTGAAGCAGTGTTCATTTTAAGATTACTCCTCTAAGTTATCTGAAAAACACAGTAATGTTATGGTGATTAAATTTGGATACTAACTTTTGGATACCATTTGAGTGTCCTAATGCATTTGTTTAATGGTTATCTTTCATGACCATTGTCTATGTGGTACATGATGTCATATTCACAATTTGGTAACCAAATTTGGTCACAATTACATTATTTTTTTGAGAAGTGACAAAGAATATTATTAAGCATAAGCAGGAAAATGGAAAGAGAACAAGGAGTACAAGGAGTCCTTGAACAATGAAAAGTGATTAAGCAAAAACCGAAAATAAACAAGAAAACCAGTCACTAAGGATGGCAAGTAGCAGCCCAATCCCTAGAAATCAAGAAAAATGGAACATTATTGCTGATCCTGATGTAACAGATTGCCTGGTGGCATTCTAATGCTCCAGATTTGGTTCAAAGGGTACTATACCTGTATTCATTTTGATCTCTTGTAGGTTTTGCACATCTTGAGTCATTGGTTAATTTTGCAATTAGTTATTTGCATATATGCATTTCAGAGCGCATAAAACAATTGTGACATGAACTTGGTGACCACTGTCTTATCTAGGAGGTTGGGGTCAAGAGTCAGTGTGAAAATAGAATGGTTGATCCTAATACTCTCTCTCTCTCTCTCTCTCTCTCTCTCTCTCTCTCTCTCTCTCTCTCTATTGTGTGCTACTCTTTGATTGGATGGTGAGGAACTTACACGACCAACTGCCACAACACCAATGTCCACTACTGCCCCCTGTTCATTACTCTCTTGATTTTAGTGTGTATAAACTAAACAATACTTTGATCCCAAAAAAAAAAAAAAACTAAACAATACATTTCCGTATGTCTAATCGTAAATGAGATACTGAAACACATGAATTGATGAGAAATGCCACTGAAACTCAAGCATTACAAACTTCCATCTTAACCAAATGATTAGAAATAGAACCATGACAATTTCAGAAGAGCCAAACACAGAACTAAAACAGAGCAAACAATATAAAACAGAAACTGAACTCAAAACAACCTATTTGGACGGCCAATATGATCATATCTCTAGTAATTCAAAATTTGAACATCCCAACTGAAGCCATGAGAGGCACAGATTGGCTAGGAAGCTGCCATGGTTGTGAATCATATTGAGGAATGTCTTGCAGATACCCACACACATGGCTAGCAACTATTTCCAGAGACTCCAACCTCTTTGTCAGCTCATTGTGCTGCCTAGTCAATATATGGTTCTCCATCTCCACAGCCATGGATTGTTGCGTAATGGAATTGATTTTCTGAACAATCTCAATGTTGGTGTTCTTGAACATGGTCAATTGGCAATTGAGAACCTTGATATGCTCCTCTCTTCTCTTCCTTGACCGCCGTGCCGATTCGCGGTTCGAAATCATTCTCTCCCTCATTTTCTCATCGACCATTGCAGATATTTCACTCCCTTCTGATGATGAGCTACATTTGTGTTTTGCCATTGTCACTCGTGTAAAAATTCAAATTCTTATATCAAGAAACTTAACAAATCTTTCTTGTGATTTTAATTGAAGGGCTAGAGATTGGAGAAGCTTGATAGTCAACACGTAAAAATCTCCTTCAAATTACTTATGAATATGCAAGTTTGGTTTGGCTAGGGATTGGAGAAAACTAATTCATGAGAAAACATAAAACCAATAAAGAAAAACAACCGAAAAAGACTGAACAAGTGGAATTCGACGTAGAAGGATTGTGAAACTCATATCATGAGAAGGATTAGCTATGGTTTTTGCTGCAAAGAGAGAACCTCAAAAACATAGACAACATGACCACAATATCAAGAGAGATTGAACACAAAATACCTAAACCCTTTGAGCCAAGAAAGGTGAAGTGTTGTAAGAGTTATCCAATTTTGGGTATTTATAAGGTTTATGAGAATGTTGTATTGGTTCAAGGAATCTTCATAGTCAGATTACTCGGTATGACAACTATGACTTTGTAAGAGAAAACGTGGCACAATTGACAACTATAGACATTTTTGCTTTTGTTTTTACAGATGGTGTTTTGGATAACTATCAACTTTTGAGCGTTGTAGGTTTCCATTGTCACAAAAGACATATTGTTCACATTTGACATAGTTGCTTTGAAAGGTATCTGTTGCCTTTTATCATTAGAAAGCACATTGATTTGGGATTTTGGCATCAGCTGTTCTATGAACACAGAAAATTTTCATAGAAAGAGACATAGCGTGAAACAAAAGATGGATTCCACGTGCGAAGTCGACCGTGTGTGGGACTCATTCTTTGTCTTATATCTGTGACCCATTATGTGAAAATCATTTATGCACTTGGATTTACTTTTTGATATCCTTAAAGTTAGGAATGTTCGTAGAAAAGTCTACCTTTAGAAAGATTTTGTATATTTCATGATAAGAATAACATGCGTGACAGTGATATTTTTGAAAATTTAAGCCTTAAATAGAAGCCCACAACACAAATTAGGCTAAGGACAGTAGCAGTCCTTGAATTCAAAAAACTATGGATGTATTCAAAGTTGTTGTCTTCCCATTTATTTATTTATTTACTTTCCTTTTGTATGTAACTTGGCCTCATTTTTCTTTTTCTTTTTTAATTGTTTTCTAGTGGTAATCTGCTTTGCAAGTTGTCAAAAAGGTAGACCTACTTGGATTTTTCAGAGGAATGACACATTGACTTCTTGAGAATTTAAAATGAACATACATGAACCTTTTATTTCAAGGTGATGATAAGTATCTTATTCAAAAGTAGTACTATAACTGTTTCTAGAAACATAATTTAACACTTCAAATACTTTATATCCACAATTTTGCCCTCCATTTACCATCGCATGGCAGTTGCAAAAGGTTTTTTGTGTTTGCTTTTTGATTATTTGTATCGATTGTCAATGTAAAGAGAGTTTTTTTTTTAGTTGTGTGCACATATTATATGCATAGCAGAGCCAAAGGCGGCATTAATTTTCATGATGATGATCACATCATAATGAAAATTTTATGTTAGGTATGAATTTTGGATTTATCAAGGAAAGGGAAATATCGAAACAAGAAAATATTTTTTACTTTATGTTGGTGAAAATACCAGAAAAAATTATATTTTATTGATAAATAATGCAAAGAAAATGAGATACAAATAGATCAGGCTGAGGCACGGATATCTTGTTTTCTTTAAGGAGATCAAGCCCACTGCAGTAGGAAGAACCCCAATACCGATGTAGCAGTCACAAAACTATGACTTGTCCCCTCCAGGATACAACAGCCCTTCAAGCCAACTCTGCACAAGATGGTCAACCCAAAGCTCTACAAAAAAAAAAAAAAAAACACTATTCTTTGCTAGTAATCTCTCTTGTATAGAAAATAGTTGGTATGTGTTGGTGTAGAAAAGAGTAGATGAGAGGAACTATTTATAGGCCACTAGGACCTTACAAATTACATCAAAAAATAATGATCATTAAACAAGAGAAAATGGAGAGACTCCAAATAATAACTCACCACTAAGTTCATGAATTCTAATTAACCTCCATTCATGAACAAGATAAAATTCATGAATAAAACAAAAGAAGATTCATGAACAAATATATAAATAAATAAATAAAAGATATTAAAATGGTCCAACAATCCCCCACTCATTTTAATATCAATAAGGACAAGAGAGATTACCAAACAAAGATAGACTAGTATGCATCATGAAGGTGTGTTCTGCATTGAACTTTCATTAATGAAACAGCAACCTCTACTCCAGAGTCAGTAGGGGTCTTAGACTTGAACTATGACTGCTTAGGAAAAATAAAGAATTACTGCTCACGCATAATAATCCAGGAATTGACATGAGCTTTAATAGCTAGCACATTACGGCCTTGTGGTAATCCCAGTTTTCATGAGCATATTTGATAATAAGTCTTATTCTCATAGAAAGCGGCTCCACTTTCATGCTCACATAGGTGAAATCTGTCAAGGATGTTCCTGTAATTTACACACCCCACTCAACAAGAGCTGCAGAATTTCATTAAGAGTATAAAAACTCAACCCTCCAACATTACAGGACAAATGCACTACATCATAAGGATGTATAACAAAATATTAGAAAGTGTATTTTTTACAACCACCATATGATTCGTTCTTCCCATTGAACCTAGTTACAGGATCTCTGGTCCCTAAGTTGGGTATCCTCATACATGGTTTATGATTTTATAGGCTTCAAACTCATCCCCCTCGATGTATTCTAGACCTTATCTCTCGCCAAGGCCTTGGTTAACGAATCCGCAAGATTATTACAAGATCTTACATAATTCACAGTTATGATGTCATTACTCAAATAGGATCTCACATTACTGTGTTTCCTTCGAATAGGTCTGGATTTATAATTATAAAAACGGTTGTTCACTCTACCAATAGCAGCAGTGCTATCACAACGAATTAACGCAAGAGGAATTGATTTTTTTCCCAAAAAGGGATTTCATGTAACAAATGTCTTAACCAATTCGCTTCCTCACATGCTGAAGCTAACGCTATAAGCTCAGCTTCCATTGTAGAATTAGCAATTATCGTCTGTTTTTTAGACTTCCAACATATAGCACCACCATCCAAGGTAAAAATAAAACCCGAGGTACAGAGAGAATCACCTGACAAAGTGTTCCAATCGGCATCATTATATCCCTCAAGTACCGCAGGATACTTGTTATAAAACAAACCATAATTTTTGGTTCCAGATAAATATCTCATAATTCTTCCCATGGCTAGCCAATGATCTCGACTTGACTTGCTAGTAAACCTGCTAAGTACTCCAACAGCATATGCAATGTCAGGTCTAGTACAGTTAGTAGCATACTACCAATCATGCTAGAATATTCATTTTGATTAATCACTTCTTTTTCATTTGTTACAACAGATAAATGTATGCTTACATGAAAAGGTGTAGCAACATGTTTACAGTCTAGAAAATTATATTTCTTTAACATTTTCTCAACATAATGCGATTGATCAAGAAAAATACCATCATTAGTTTTGGTAATTTTAATTTCCAAAATAAAATTGGATTCACCAAGGTCTTTCATATCCAAATGGCTATTGAGTATATTTTTAGTCTCATTTATAATATGCAAATTAGAGCCAAAGATAAGTAGATCATCCACATATAGGCTAATAATCACATGTGCATTTTCACAAGTTTTATAATATATGCACTTATCACATTCATTCGTCTTATAGCCATTCTCAAGCATACAGGAATCAAATTTCTCATGCCACTGTTTAGGAGATTGTTTTAAACCATAAAAGGATTTAGTTAGCTTACACACCTTGCTTTCTTGGCCAGGCTCCACAAAGCCTTCGGGTTAGTCCATGTAAATCTCCTCATCTAGATCTCCATTTAAAAATGTTGTTTTTACATCCATTTGATGAATTTTTAAATTATGAATGGCAGCCACTGCAATCAATAGTCTAATGGATGTAACTCTAGTAACCGGAGAAAAAGTATCAAAGAAATCAAGATCAACTTGTTGCTTAAAACCTTTAGTGACAAGTCTCACTTTATATTTATCTATAATTCCATCCGGTTTAAATTTTTTACGAAGGACCCATTTACACCCAATAGTTTTACAACCTGGAGGTAAATCTACTAGCTTCCATGTTTTATTTGAAAGTAGTGAGTCTATCTCTATCTCATCATTTACAGCCTCTCTACAGAAAATAGCATCAGGTGATGATAAAGCTTCTTGCACCATAAAAGAAATTTCTTTCACGTTGTAAAGATAATAGTCAGGGTCAAAATCTTTTTCAACTCTAGCTCATTTACTCCTCCTTGGTTGGATTTGAGAATTTTCTTGTTCTTGAAAAACTTGAGATGGAATAAAAGAGCTAGGCATGGATAAAATATTTTCAGAAATTATTTGACCCCCACCATTTCTAGATTTGAAAGGAAATTTATTTTCATGAAAAATAGCATCACCTGATTCAAAAATAATATTATTTTCCATATCCAAAAATCTATAAGTTGTACTATGCAACACATACCTAAGAAAAGCACAGGTGGTAGCTCGTTCGCCCAATTTAGGTCGTTTAGGATCTGCAAGCCTCACAAAAGCTAAACAACCCTAAACTCTCAAATAACATAGATTTGGTTTATGCCCCCGCCACAACTCATAAAGTACAATTTTAGTTTTTTTGTGTGGCACTCTATTTATCACATGGCAAGTTGTCAAAATAGCCTCGCCCCAAAGATTTGAGAGAGCACCTGAATCGATAAACATAGCATTCGTCAAGTCAATTAACGTTCTATTTTTTCTTTCAGCTACGCCATTAGATGAAGGTAAATATGGTGGAGTAGTTTTATGAATAATTCCCAATGACTGAACAAAAGAGTTGAATCCTAGAGATTCATACTCCCTGTCTCTATCACTTCTAATTCTCTTAATCTTTTTACCGAATTGATTTTCCACTTCAAGAAGGAATTTTTTAAATTTCTCAAAAGTA